TTGACACCCTCGGACGATTCTAGTGGGGGTGGAAGTAATTCTGATCGATTTGCTATGATAGATTATCTATATTCTGTAAGTTTTAATATCTGCAGAAAACGTTTTTGGTGCTATCAAAAAATTTAGATTGATATCTGGCGACATCTGTTCCAGGACTACAGAACGCGTTTGCTTAGCTTTTTTTTCTTTCTGAATCAGTAGATATTTCAGCCATTTCTTTGCATATTTTCTGTCCTTAAAAATGACTTTTCTATTTTTTTTGATTTTTTGTGATTGGCTTATCCACGTAATATCTGAGTGCCATTTATTCTTATTTTACTCACAGACAGACTACTATTCTGTAAGACCCCAGACTAAAGTCAAGGGAATAACCAAGGGTGGAAACTTAGGCAATCAATCTCTTCATTTTCTTGAATTAAGACAGAGTTTGCTAATCGTAAATTTTTGTATTATTTTATTCTTTTCCTTATCACGGTGATTAACAGTTTTTGAGTCTTATATTACTTTATAAAGAACTGTGGCCACATCGAAGACGATTGAGATTCTTCTACTCGTGAAACTTAAATAAATAGAGTAACGAAAGTAAAATAATAAGTAATCTTGAGCTATCTTCATGGTTCTGCGAAAATGGGTCATACTTGTTTTCGCACTCGAATTTTATTTTATTTACATCTCTCCTTTGTGTCATGGATAAGTAGACAATAATACTAAAGTTATAAACTTTATAAAATGAAAAATGGACAATAAACAACCCATTATTTTATATTTGACAATTCTAACGTTTTCCACCTAAATTCTGGATGGTATATATAAATGCATGATGATATTCTCTATGGTAAGATTGAAATGCTCTTGATATCAGTTACACTCCATATAAATGGCATGTCTGAATTCTTATTATTTACAGAATTTTGGATATCGGACCATTTTCATAGTATTTAAGATTTCGTATTTTTTCCGAAAAAAATTAGTAACTCGATCGAGATACAATATTCCTATGAGATTTTTTTCGTTGATCGTTTTGATATCCGACTAAACGGTCTATCACACCTCATGACGATTGGAAAGAGAGCTGCAATTTCATAGTGCATAATCGCTATTGAAAAGTAAACGATCAAAGCGAATAGAAAAAAATCACGATTCTAAGGTGTGTAAGCACGATATTTTTTCAATCGCGATTATCCACCATGAAATTGCAGTTCTTTTCAATAACCATGAGATATATGTGACTGAACGTTTAGTCGGATATCAAAACGATTAACAAAAAAACCTCATGGGTTTTGACTTTCTATCTTTAACAATGTTGATTATTTCTCCAATTGTTAATTAATGGATAGTGATTTCAAAGAACCTGCAAAAATCATTGAGACACCTATGAGAATGCAGAGCCAAGTGTATAACATGTATCTATCTCACAATAACATCAGCAATACAGGTGCATCATTTTTGTGTAAAAATCTCTCAAGAAGATTACGCTTTCTGAATGGCGGATCAAAATTGTACTCTCGATCGCCTCTTTTTCGAGCATTTTTCAAAAAATAAAAAATCTCTTCTTCCGTTTTTTAAAATAAGACACACTTCTGATCTACAAATTAAGCAGAACAGATGCTCAGCTTTACTGGAAAAAAATTGGCTTTAATTTGCAAAGCAAGTAAAGTGTCATAGAGGACCAGATTCCGATGATAATCCTGCCAAGATCTTTAAAAGGATTTTTTGGTTCGATGAATATTAAATTCAGCTATGCACGAGACAAGAATATTCATTATATACGTTTCATTTTTATTGGACGCCTTTTCAGAGGAATATGAATAGTTTTTTCAGTTCGGTACCACAAGAGAGAGATCCAATCTTATCTCTCAAAATGCGTACAAACTGCAAGAATACTTCTCTATCTGTCCAAATTGCAAATTTCTGCGTATTTCACACATTGCCCACGATAGCTGAAACAAGGGATCACAGTTAAAAGTGCAATTTTTGCCTGTATTCTTGAAACTTTTTACACAGAAATGTTGTTTTGCATTCCTAATTTTACATTATTCTAAGATGGACACGAATTCTCTCACTTGATAATAGTTGCTGTCACTACGTCTTCCTTGAGTCATTAAAGTGGACAGCTAGGACGTTCGAAAGTACGTGATTCGAACGTCTGGTTAGGACTGTAAAAGTTCCCATTACTTCGGCCGTTATCGCTAACTGCGTTTCCAGTTACCGTTATTTCAACGGTAACTATCAGTTAGTTAACTTTGTGGTAACTACTTTTTAAGTATGGCAGAAATATTCACGCAACGGCTTAAAATGGCTTCCAATATCGTTATTTTTCCACTAAAACTGTTGAAACTGTCATAAAAATGACATGCTTTGTAGTCTAATTTCTTTGATGAAAACAAAAAGATTTGAGATTTCAAACTGTATAGTTTGATGCATTTATAGTCTGAAACATTATTATTGATAGAATGCATCATATGTTTACTAGTAGAGCACTGCTGTGTTCTAATCAGAGTTGCCAGATGTTTAGGTCAGAAAAGCGGAAAAAAAGTGGAAATGCATTTTTCACCAAACGCATAGGGGTATCAAAAAGATTTTTTCTAGCGCTTTATGGCGGTCCCACTTAAGAAACACAAAAGAAGTTCAAAACATCATTTAAATCCCGATCTGAATCGATATTGACTTTTTGTGGATGCGCGTTTTTGATCAGCCGTCATAAATTTCAAGAGTTATGTATGGCAGGATAAAATTGAACTCGAAACTTTCCCGCCTACAACAGCACTTAATAGTTAAGATTTTCTGACCGAGTTGGCTTCCTTGAAGATTTAGTATTTCACTATTTTTCGTACTCCCTTTCAGCAGCACTTCAGACAAGCTAATGTTTTTCTGTTACGACTCACTTCCGGGACAAATTTCTGATTTAGTTCCTAAAACAGCGCTCATCTGTTTTGTAAAAGTTGCAAAAGCATTGTTTTGACAGATCATTCAGCCGACGAAAGCGGCAAACTTTTTATGAGAAAATGTAAAAGTCTTCCTTCATTGCAGGAAAAAGAACAAAAAGAATAAATACTCAAAAAGCGGACAAAGTTATTCTTTCGATATTTGTTTTAATTATTAAGTAATGAGTCCCAAAAGTTGAGCATATTTTCAATAGCTTTTCTATAAGATAATTAATTGTCACGTGAGACTGCACATATATTCAGTATGAATAGTGTAAAGTGATTCAATAAGTAGCCACGTGCTTACTTATCAGTCTATACCTTTGTGTAGTTTGATGCATTTGTAGCCTGAAACATTATTATTGATGCGCATGCATCATATGTTTACTACTAGAGCAGTGTAGTGTTCTAATCGTATTTAAGGGATTCAAGCGGTGTCTAAAGTGTTTCTAACATACGTTTCACTAGGTCGGGTTTCCAATCTGCCCGTAGGGTAGTTGGCATCTAGTTCTTCTTTCTTCTACACCCACTTTTTCCTTTTAGTCAGCCACTCGTTCTCAGCTATCCCTGATCGTACAGATTTGGTAAAAAGATAATTCGAAAGTACAGCAGCTGTAGATAACACATCTGAAGATATGTTTTCGATATATATTTTAGGTATTAAATAATGAGTCTCAAAAGCTGAGCATATTTTCAATAACTTTTCTAAAAAATAATCAATTGTCACGTGACACTTCATATACATTCAGTATGAATAGTGCAGAGTGATTCAATAAGTAGTCACGTGCTACTAATCAGTCAATACTTTTGTATAGTTTGTGAAATGATGAAAGCTACAGCATAACGTTTGACGATAATGAATCAGCCGATATAGCTGACATATCCTACTTTCTGGATGTTCTAATTTGGTTAATCTGTTTACTGTTTCACTCGGGCGACTTTTCAATCGTCCCGCAGGGGAATTGGCATCTGGTTCTTTCTTTCTTTCCACACTGTATTTTCGTGTTCGAGTCAGACACTCGTTCTCAGTTACCTGTGATCGTACAGATAACGGAAAAACATTATTCGAAAGTGCACGGGTCGTATATGACACATTTCAAGTTATTTTTCGGATATTTGTTGTAGTTATCGTATAATTGTTTTTGCGTAGCTCGTTGATGATTGTTATTCATTTTGGGTTAATTAGTTTTGTATACTTCTCGAGAAAATTCGAGCAAGAAGCGGCTCTCATGAGAAATTTTTGACGCGGGGATATCGTTCTTTTAGATCTGCCACTGTAAGAATTCAATTGAGTATTACGTGTATTGAACATGAAAAAACGAATAAGATGAACGAAAAATTTTGAAAGCATCCACTACAACGAAGTTTTATTCGATCAAACATCTGAATAGACCGGATCGGTAAAAATAGGAAAAGCGTACATGTGTAGAGGTCAAAAGCATTATAGTGCGAAAACATTTAGTTTTCCATAATGAAATAATTGATGTACCATATAATATTTTTTGGATTTTTTGACTGATGATAATCAAAAAGATGCAACGCAGTTGGTGTAAAAGTATATAATAATATTTGCTTTATGAGTCGCAAAGTAAGTGTACGCAAAAGTAGACATTCGTGAAAGAGATGTATCGTACTTCATTTTTTTTGAAAAAATGTTTTTCATTTTTTGCTGATTATAATAGAACGAAAAAAGCTTAATATTTAATACATCAGAAATGTGCTACTCGTTGGTTGTTTAACAAAAGTGAACGACAAACGCCATAAAAAAGAATGATGGATTTAAATGTAGGTATTTAATTTATAATATCTATTTAAATTTTTCCTGGAATTGTTGCAAAGCTCAAGATACATTTTATTAGAGTTTTTTTTAGAGAAAAAATTTGTTTTATGAAAAAGACGATAAAAGTTTAAATGTTTAAAGAGGAACTATTAGTTTTCTGTTAATAAAAATAATTTTGTCATAAACAAAACAACTTGTTCTTCGAATTGTTGAACCGTAAAAAAATATCATTTTATGTTTGTTATAGACAACCGGTGATTTCATTCAAAATATCTGGTTATTTTTCTCATGTGAGAATGATGTTTACTGGTAATTGTCTATTGTACTTACACAGTAAAATTTCAACGCTATTAAGAAAAGAACAACAACAACAACAGCATTCAATGTCGGATAACAATACTGATTCATCCTTAGTTATTCACGAAATATTTGATCAATCTCAATCCGCTATTAACTGTAAAGATCAAATACCATCTTCTATTCGAAATTTTTCATCTCAATACGGTTCACATCGTACTGAGAGTTATGTTGTATCGAATATTTGTTCTGGTATCGAAATATATCCCCATTATGGCGATTCACAACGTGCACTCGTATTTCGAACGTATGGTCCATGGTGGATAAATACACCTTCTCATCAATATTCAATCAAACATTTTACACGTTTTGAACCATCATTTACTAGTCGTGATTATGTTGATATAGAATATAAACACCCGGTTTATATAGATTCTCTACATTTATATGAGACATATAATCCTGGCACATTAGAAGTTGTTTATGCCGGTTTTGAGGAAAAGTCACATGTAAAATGGTTTCGCATCTGGAAATTTCCCGAACCATTTAAAATCGAAATAACCGATAGTGAAGAAAATTGTGACGAATTTTCAATTATTAATGGTCAGTGTAGAACGAATTTAAATGAATTCATTTTTATGCCTAAAAATTTCTTTGTATTTAGGTTTACAAAGTTTTGAAGACATATTTCATGATCGCCAAGATATCTTAATGTCATCAAAGAAAAATATGTCAGGAAATGAATGTGAATTAGCACAAATATCAAAATTACATACACGGCATCGATATCCATCAGCGTCTCGTCAACCACGTATTGTTAAAATTCAATTAGCAGATAGAATTAAATTTCCATGTAAATTAATACGTTTAGAATTTGATCATAGTACAGTGGGTTATTATACAGAAATAGATACTGTTATTCTTATTGGTAGACCAGTATCAACTCTAAAAGATACAGAAGAACAAACAAATAAACCTCCATTAGTAAGTAAATCATTTCATCTTTTGTTTTAACCGATGTAAAAACTGATCTAATCAGAGAAGATTTTTTTTAAACAGATGTAACAGGTAATGATTGAAGACGCACGGAATAAATAAGATGATTAATCGGCAGTTGAGCGATTCCTTATCCCACCATTTTACATACATTCTCAGCGTTTTCAATATTGGTTTCAGGAGAGGATAAATCTTACTGTATAACGAAATTTTTTTGTGAGTAACTGTGTTGTTACCAATTATTATACATCTAGCATATCTTACGTCTTTATATATCAACGAGTTTATTTCCTATGCAACATTTAACACAGTTTCTCAAAAGATTTAGTTGCATGCACAAAGATTGCTCTGAAGACGAGTTACTTAGTTCAGCCGAATCGGCTTGAGCAAAAAAAAATACAGTCATTCATGTGAATAAAGACAAGTTCTATTACATGGAGATATACTTACTGAAATATCAGTGTCACAGTTTAACTCAACATAAAACTAAGAATTTTTTGAGACATGTTTACTCACATACGTAAACATGTTGATACTGCTTCAAAAATTTTATTGAGTAACTAAAAGTTTTTCTAAATAATTCTTATCAAATTAGGAAATTTCTTTGCGGTTTCTAATCGAAATTGTTGCACATCTTGCCGCAATTTTGAGCTTCTTCCAACTCATTCGCTTCAACTACAATTCCAGTTGTTCAGAATCACTTTGTATAACAGATATTTTCGTGTAATTATATAACTTCTCCTTGAACAAATTTTTATCTCATAGATTTTTAGCTTTTTCAACTGTTCCCTTTTCTATCCAGTTTGAATACCTGCACTCATCCCTAAGAAGAAGCGCAACATCGATTCAATGTTGTTGATCGGAAGAAATGTCACAATGAAAAGCATCGTAGATCGGTCAACTATTGATTAAAGAAATAAGACAATTCACTTTCATTTTGTTTATGTTTAGCTTGAACTTTGTGATATTATACCGAAACAGTTAACAGACGACGCTACCATTACGCCCACAACTGAAACAAATGAAGAATGTATTTCGAATTTGGGACTAATTAGATTACCATTCGATATTTTATTTACAATTTGTACATATCTAGACTTACGATCATTAATTCGTTTATCATCTACTTGTCGTTATCTTTATGATAAATGTTTACATCCTTTACAATTTCAAGCATTAAATTTACAACCATATTGGTACGGTATCACTAATTATTCAATTGATTATTTTTTTAGTTTAAAATGTACACAAACAAAATATTTATCATTAGCTTGGACAAAATCAATTAACCTTCAATCTTTTACCCTTCTATTAAATACACAAAAGTTGATTCAGTTAAATTTGGCTTGTTGTCAATATATGAATGATGAATACATTGATATTATTTCAAAACACTGTCAACAATTAGAAATTATTAATTTAGAAAATTGTTATAATTTAACTAGTGATGATTTTATACCATTAAAAAATTTAAAAAATTTAAAATCAATTAATTTTTATCGAACAAAAATTGATCATCGTACATTGATACCATTAGTAAAAAATAATTATTTACATTTAGAATATGTAAATTTAGGTGCTTGTCAACAATTAACTGAAACTGATTATGTTATTAAATTAATATTTTCAAAATGTAAACGATTAAAAACATTAGATTTATGGCGTGCTCATAGTCTATCACAAAATGGTTTTCATTCAATTATTGGTGAACAATTAAAGGTTGATGTTATGAATGATGATAAGGATATTATGAATGAATTATTAAATGATTATTTAACAGCTAGTATATGCTATTTAGAACATTTAAAAGAACTAGATTTTGGATGGTGTGATATTCCACCTGATTTTATTAAAAAATTTGTTAAAAATTGTGGAAAATCATTGATGAAATTATTTTTGACTGCATGTCGTCGAATAACAAATGATGATATGATTGCCATTAGTGAATATTGTCCAGAATTAAAACAATTGGATATACTAGGCTCACGAATTATTAATGAACAATCAATTGAATTAATATTAAAAAAGTGTACAAAGTTAGAATTTTTAGATTTATCATTTTGTGATAAAATTGAATCTCAAACAATTGATACGTGGAAAGAAATATATGGACATTGTAAATCATTCAAACGAAGTTATCCGCCACGCGTTCCAATTAATAATATTTGTACAGAATTTCCTTGAGATAATATCGTATAATTTACATGTAATTAGTAGAGAATACTGTGATATATATATATATATATCATCTATCATTTAATCATTTACTTCATTCTGTTTTTACTGTTGAAATTTTGTTTTTTTTTCTTCTCACTTGTTTTATATTTATTAAAAGATCTTTTCTATTCAACTCTTTGAAATCAATTAACTCCTTTAAATACATAGTTGATGTGTAAAATCTCGATATGATTTTAATTATGTAATACAGTTTTATATTGAAAAATTTTCATATTTATTTTATTAAGAAATATCCATCATTGTATGTATATTTCTTCGATATACGTGACACCAGAACTATTATGAGATTATTTATCGATGCACATTTCTCACTATATCTCTTTGTTTTGAGATTATACCCTGTGTTCTGAATGTAAACAAAGGATAAATAAAAGATGTTTTGTTGTTATTTATTAGAAGACTCTTTTATTCAGATTCATCATTGCATTCATTTCTTGTTTTGTTATTGTTGTTGCTGTTTCAACATGCCATGATCGATTGTGTTATATTTTTTACACTTTTGTGTTTTCATTTTTTTAAATTTTGGCAATATATTGAACGAACTGAACCGTATTTCTATCTTCTATACATTAATAAAAATATTCCTATACTTTTATATAAATTTGACAATAGCATTGACAATTTCTGAATTTTAATGTAAATATATCAACTGTTCTAAATGGTGATATGTCTTTCTAGTATCCGAAGAAAGCAAGTAATAGATAGTTTATTGACTTTTGTAGTTGTGTTTAGTATCTACATGTGCTTCTTTTACATCAGAAGATTAAAATTGAAGAATTTATATATTAGGCATCTCTTTAACTACTATTTTATTAACAAAAATAAAATGCATTAATGCTTCAATTCATTTAAGGATATCAAGAGAAATTAACATTTATTCTTTCTGTGATCTATATATAATATACCACTGAAGACCAGATGCTGTTTTAGAACACGTTTTACTCTAAATTTACATATTTCAACATAAAAAATATATATTACTCAGTTTGATAACGAGATAATGTTTAAATATCGTTTTATTAGTATTGATCTTTGGTATTGATTGATTGCATTCGTAAAATTCTATTCAATATAGAAAAAAGGTAAACAAAAACTGAATGCCATGAATACACATAAACAGCCTTGTTCATTTATCGATACTCACAGCACAACAATCAGAGACAACGGAGCAAATTGTGAAGACAAACTTTTTCTGGAAAAACTGAAGGTAAATTGATTTCTTTTCAGGAAGGCTATTTTAAATTAATTTAAATTAAATAAATACTGAAGGTAAATATCAAAAGATTTTTTGTGTACTTACGTATAGAGTTTTCTATTTTTACCTATTTTGACGCACCGACGACATCAAAAGTGAATGTGAATATTTTTGAAACGAATCGAGATTAATATCTCTCTCTCTCTCTCTCTCTCTCTCTAAACTACTCTTGTTTTTTTTAGACAGTAGTTTATTAAATATACATTTGTAATAAAAACAGAGAAAACGGAGTTCAAGATAGGAAAGAGATGCAGCGATAATATGATTAATTCAAACAAATAAATCCATGAAGTTGCAGGGGGGCCGCTTAGCATTTCGCCCCACGCTTTTTTACATTCCAAAATCTGTAGGGTGTTTTCATCACTGTGCCATGTTTCTACCGCCTCTAACAACAACTATTCTTTTTTTTTTGCTAAAATTACAAACTATACAGATTGATTTTTAATCAAGCCAGTGGAAATACACTGTAAAGAAAATGACAAAATTCCAAAATTGACACTATCAAGTGCTTACGATCGATTTATAAACTATTTTATGATCACTAGGTATCCACCCATATCCATCAGTACTAAAGTTTTTAGTCAATTTTTGTATTTGTAAATTGTTGTTCGTCGTGATTTTCACCTTTTTTTAAAATATGTTCGTGCATCAAAGTCTATAATGTAACTTAATGTGTTAACATAACTATAAATTCGTTGATATTGTCTCTTCCTCGTCTTCTTTTTCAGTCAAACGAATTATGGTAGTGATCTTTTTTTCATTACATATGGTAAAATGAGAGACCGAGTTTTCTCCTCATCTGTGGTACGCCATACTATTTTATTTTATGTCTGTTTAATGTAATAATAACACTGTTTTTCTTTTTTGCAGCTCTCTCCCCCTGCCTCTGGACTAAATTGACTACAATACATAAAAGATAATGTTACTCATGAAAGATAATAAATACATAGGAAAAAATATAAGTTATTTTATAAATATGTTCGCATCATTAATTCGCTGGTTGCATAATCTATTATAGAGAAAAGAGAAAAATAATCACTAACAACTTTTTATCGAGACTTTTTTCTATGTCTGTGATTTAAGCAATGAAATGAAGGAAAAAAAAAAGGAAAAACAAAAATGTAGATTTTCAGATGTTTTGTCATTATAAGTTTTTTCTAAATGATTTTAATGCACCATTTATTTTACTAAAGCAAAATAGCAGGTATCTAGAATAAATATTGATAATATTATTTTATTTATGTTGAGATTGGTACAGGAATTGGAATTATTAAAATTAAATTTTAGTTATTTATTATTCGTAAATAACTAAAATTTCATTTTAATAATTCTTATCTGTATTCGTATTTAAAGTATCTAAAATTGAGAAAGATATTAGTGTGTATCAAAATCATTTGAGAAATAATAGGGTGTTCTTATTACACATTGAATGGTTTTTTCGCCTCATTATCTCATATTTAATTGTTGTCGTGTTCTATTCAGAACTAGATTGAGGTTTTAAAAGAAAATTCAACATTAAGTTTCACTGGAATATTGTTACTAGAAAACGGACAAAGTATTATATACCACCTGTTTATATAAAACATATTATATTATTTTCTATGAAACATGCAAAAAGAAGCCAAGAATAACACATTTTGTTTCAGATAGAATCAATAATATAAAAATAAAAAATTCATCGACTCTCTAAAAAAAAAAATTGTATTCTAAGAAACTGATGAAAAAGGATTTTTGAACATTTGGAAACCAAAATGGATTAACACATTAATTCTGCAAAATCAAAATGAGAGCTAATCTCGGAACTTAATCCATAAAAAGATGTACAAATTTTCAAATAGGTTTCAAAGAAACCTTCGGAAACCCTTATTCGTTTCATATAATTTCATTTTCGGAAAACTATTAAGCGTTTCTGAAGATTCGTAAGGTTTCCGAGAGCTTGACTAGGAGCTTAATGGTTATCCGAAAATGGAACTATATAAGGATTTCCGAAAGTTCCCTTTGAAACTTTGTAAATCTTTTTATGGATTTTCGAGATTAGCTCGAAACTCATTTTGGTTTTTGTAGAATTAATGTGGAATCCATTTTGGTTTCTGAACGCTGGAAAACCCTTTTTCATCGGTTTCGGAGAATAAAATTTTGTTTTGGAGAATACTCAATGATATTTAATATTTCACATTTGATAAGATCTTCACAAGAAAATGATGTGTCAGGTGTAATAGTTAGAGTTTGAAAATGTCTAGATTCATAAAAGTGATAGTTAATATTCATAGCAGAAATGGTAAGATTTAAGATTGAGAAAAACTAAATAACTTTGAAAATAATGATGATGGAATAATTCCAAACCTTGATTCTATTAGAAATTAATCAATAATCTTCTTCTCTCCTGAGATTCGTTCTGATTTTTAAGATTCTATTGGGAAAGAGCAATTATTTATTTTTTTTCACTACTTTAGATAAGGTCACAGTTCTCTCACTTTTTTATATTTAAATTATTGTAAAAGTTGTTTAAATGCACGTTTTATCGCCGTACATTTGTTAGTATGTTGATCTTGTCTGATTATTATTTTTTTTCCAAACATCCTCCTTTTTCACATAAAATAAAACTTTCTAATTTATCATCTCTATTGATTGACTGTGTTACGACGCTTTTAACTCAGTCAATTGAACATTTATTTGATATTGTTATAAAATGATATCTGTTATTGTTGATAAATCATGTTCTTGAACCGATGACATAATAAATATGTTTCATCTGTAACACCTAAACATTTTTGATTGTAAAATTCATGAAGATCACGTTCAATCATCAATTATTTATAAATATCACAAACACAACATTTATCTAAATACTTGTTCTACGATTCTTAAACGTTTAGTAATATATTATTGACACGTATGTTTTAGTTCTTCAAAATAAAAATTCTGTGAGTTTAGTGATGTTTCTATTATTTATTTTTGGAATCAAAACTAGAATAAATAGATTTTTAATGTTTCCAATAGATCAATCAAATTGATATTGTCTAAGTTGACCGATTTATTTCGTTGTTGCTGTTGTTGCGATTGTTGATGATGCTTTATCAACGTTAGTATTTTAACAATTGACTACTATCTGTCTGTTACAAAATGATTTGTGATTAAAAACATATTTATGGACATCAATTTGATTATTTACATTTGTAATACCAATCTTTTTAGTATATTTGGAGATTGTTTGACTTATTAATAATGAATCACTTGATAATGCACGTTTTAATATTAAGATTGATGTTTTCCCATTTTGCTATTGTCACCAAACATCTGTTGTTATTTATATGGAGAAAAAACTAGAGAATAATTCATATAG